CCTATAAGAAGCAGGGAAAGTCAGCATGAATCACCCACCCGGATTGAAAAGTCAAACCCTGTTACCTCCTGAACTGCAGTGTGCCAGGGGGGACGGTGGAGGGGCAGTGGAGGAGAGGACAGGGACTTTGATAAAACACACGAAGCAAGCTGGTGCCTGGAATTAGTGGGGTCGCCCGAAACAACAAGCAGGGCCTTCTGATCCTGGACCCAATAAGGGACCCCAGGTACCAGGGAGCTGCAGCCAGCAGCTCTGGGCCGTTCCCGGCCCGCAGTCCTCCCTGACCCTCCGTCCATCCGAGGGTTGAACCTCCTCGCCTCGAGCACAAGGCTCGGAGAGGCGCCAGTTTCCTCGACCCCCGGGTCCCCCACAGCCCCTCTCCCCAATTCTTGTTCAAGTAGCTGCAGGCAAGGGAAAAGGCCAAGCCCCAGATTAGGGGCAGGTCAACCTTAATTCGAGGGTCGAGCCCCTGTATTCCTGCCTGGGGCTTGGGGGGCAAACACCCATATTTATCTCGGCTTCTCATTCGCCCCCAGGATCAGGGGCGGGGAGGGGGCGCAGTGTGCCGAGAGAGCCAGAGGAACGGATCGGGTGTCCTGGCCTTTTCTTCCTCTTTCAAGTAAAGCTCGGAGGACAGGGGAGGGAGGGAGAGTGAAGGGCCGCGGGAGGGCGAGCGGGTCAAGAAGGTTGGACCTGCTTGGCGAAGACGGCGATGTCCTCGTTGAAGGAGTCGGAGGAGCAGACGTCTCCGCCGGCCACTCCGGGTTCCCGGGGCGTGCAGGTCGCCAGCTCGCACTTCTCAAAGACCAGAGCTAACAGAGGAAACAACGGGTGCCTAACGGGCAGCGCCACGCAGAGACATACACACGGAGACGGGGTGCAGAGGGGAAGGAGCGAGAACTGTAATCAACAAGTTTGGAGGGTTCGGATTCCTTCTTTAACACAACAGGCACGCATCACACTTTACAGCCCTTTCTCCACCAGCTGAGCTGGGTCAGAAACAGAAAGGAAACGCAGCTCGGCCTTTCCCCTTCGGCTCAGAAGTCCCTTAGCTCTGGTCAGAGAAGGCTCTGGCCACTTTAGCCCGCCAAAAAAAAAAAAAAAAAAAAAAAAAAATCAGCCTCACTTGGAACGTAATGAAACATCCAGGAAAGTCGGGCAGTGTGGCGCCCGGAGTTCACCAGGCTCACTCAGCACTACAGAGGCCGCCAAACCCACCCCTGCTACCCGGTCCTGGTCTCCCGAGAAAGGGAGGATCTTTAAAATTAAAAAAAAAAAAAAAAGATTTTAAAGGGCATTTCAAACAAGGCCAAACGCTTCCCCTGCACGACACCAGAGTGACAGTTCCTCAACTGGAGCAGCACCCTTCTAAATCTCTCCACCCCCGCCTTATAAACTTGTTTGCTCTACTTCTAGTAAAGCCAGTGTGGGGGCCAAAATACTAGGGATGTGAAACACCAAAGAGCTGCCTTCCAAAGACCACATTTCTCCCAGCGTTGCAGCAGACAAAAATAAATAAATCGCATTTTAAAACTTGGATGTGTGCGTGCGCAAATGTCCTTTGTGCTCCTCCGGGCGGCTCAGCCACACTTTGGGATGCTTGCGGCCTCTGGCTCTCTGCTCAGTTGCTGTTTACCCACTGTCCCCTCCCCTCGGCATCCCGCTGCCTTCCCCACCTACCCTCAGCCGGAAGAACCCGCGGTGTACACGTTAGTACCTTGCTTCCCCACCCCTCCCCGAGTTCCCTCAGAACATAAAATAATTTCCAGCAATCTCTCCTACTCCCCCCGCCCCACGCTCGGCCCTGGCCAAGCAGCTGTCCCTTCCACCCCGCTGCACTTCAAGGTCTCCCTCTTTATTTACAGAGAATTAAGAAGTGGGTGATTAGGACTTCCTGGCCGGCAGAAGCAACCCTGATCCCAGCTCAGGCTGCTTTTAGTGACTCCCAGACCCTCGCTAGGAAACTGAAGAGGGAAAAAAAAGTTGCTTTTCAGCAGCAGGAAACTTTCCCCTTCGCCAAGGCCTCTGTGAGGGGGCTTGGAACAAGCAGTCCTGCGTCCTTTGGCCAGGAATCTTGTCCTCAGGGAGAAGGCCCAGGCAAGGCTCTGTGGACACAGTTACTCTGGGCTGTGGGGTTTGGAGTGACCGGGCCGTGGGAGTGGAGCAGTCTACATCTTCCGGGTCTCTGACTCAAGGGGCAGGAGGGCTGGCCCCCTCCACTGTCCTTCCCTACAGCAGCCCCCTGCAGAAATAACTCCCCACTTTAGCTCTCCGCCTCCCGCCCCCCACAGAGACACACACACGCACTCGCTCACACTCACACACAGTAAGCTGGGTCCGGGGGTCGGTTTACCCATAGATCGCGTCCTTGTCTCGCTTCAAGGCGTCGTTGACAGCGGATCCCATGCTGGCCGGCATGACATTGGGGTGCGGGGCGTGCGCGCCGTAGTGCTGCGTGGCGTGAAGCGGCGGCCCGTGGTTCAGGTGGTGAACCGGAGGGATCGGCCGCGGGGCGTGAGGGTCTCCGTACATGGAAGCGGGAACCCCTACTCCGTCCATCCCGCCGTAATGGGGCAGCTCATCGTACTGTCAGAGCCAGCCAGGAGGAGGGGGCAACAGGGTCAGACAGAACAGGAGAGAGAGCGAGCAAATCCCGGGAAGAGAAAAAGCAGCAAGGGAAAGAGCGAAGCCAGAAGTGGGAATGGGATACAGATGGGAGGGGGAGGCAGAGAGAGAGAGAGAGAGAGAGAGAGAGAGAGAGAGAGAGAGAAATAAAAACAAAGTCAGGAAGGAGAAAAGTACCCAGCACAAGTGGAACATACAAGAAATCAAACCAGCCAAAACAACCAAGTTGGAAGTTATGGGGAGGGAGGTGGTTTTAAAATCTTAAATGGAACAGTACGACCCAAGAGCAGCATTTAGAGGAGGAAGAGGAGGCGGCGAGGCTGGGGATGAAGGAGGCGCAGGGAGGCCCCGCTCCCGCCGGAGGCTGCAGAGCCGAGGCGAGCCAACCGGGGAGAAGTGGAGAGAGCGCGAGGAGGAAGCCCCGATCCCACCCCTAGCCCCCCTCCGCCTCCGCCGGAGGATCCAATAAATCAAAAGGCGAAATGAAACAAAATAAAAAGAGAAGAAAAACGCTAATAAGCAGGACGAGGACGCCGAGGGCGAGGGAAGACTAGGGCCAGTGCCTCCCCGGGGGGCAGGGAGCGGAGGGTAGGGAGGAAGAACGTGAAAGTTACCAGAAACATTATTTAGCTGCGGATTCCCTGCGTCCTTGTCAATTTCAGAGACAAAACAAGCAGCCCAGGCTAGTCTAGGCGGAGGCGCAGCGGCTGCGACAGCGCGGCCCCAGAGGCGGCCCCGGCGGCGGCTCCTACGCAGCCCGCGCCCGCCTCGAGCCGCGGGAACAGCGGCGCGGCAGAGGCGGCGAGAGAACCGGGGGGGATCGCGCTGCTGCTGGGGTAAAAGCTGGAGCGAGGCGAAAGCGTGTAACAATTGCACACGCACGCACACACACGGCACTCACACGCACTCGCTGCCCGCCCGCTCGCACAGCGCTGGAACACGCGCGCCCAGACACGCACACACGCACGCACACACACTCGCACACACGCAGAGGCACGGGGGGGAAAGAAGCCGATGAATAATTTTGCTGCTATTTTTTAAAATACTGGCCGCCATCATCAAGCAGCGAACAGCAGCGGCTGCAAGGGAGAGGCGGCACGGGGCAGGCCCCTCTTAGGAGAGGATTTATATCTAGGTAAGTGCTGGAGATTTAAACCTACCCTTTGCGCCATCAGTCTGCGCTCCAATAAACTCCTGGATGTGTCGTATGTTTAATATCCCAGTCCGGATAAGAAAGTGATCTAGGCTGAAGATTCCTCTTTTTTTTTTCCAAACCAAGGAGACTTCTCCCAATTCTCCAATATGTTAATTTTTAAGGGGGGGAAGCCCAGGCAAGACAACGAAGAGTTTTGTTTTTTTTTTTTTTTTTTCCTGTGATATTTCTTCTTTTTCTCTTTTTTTCCTCTTCTTCCTCCTCCTCCTCCTCCACCTCCTCCTCCCCCCTCCCCTCCTCCTCCTCTTCGGTACTCCTTTCCCCCTCTTTCTCTTCTCTTCCTCTCAGTTGGAAAAAAAAAAAAAAGAAAAGAAAAGAAAAAGAAAAAGAAGAAAAAAATTGTCAAGCCCCCGTACTGAAGGTTACGAGCAGCCCGTCAGCAGCCCACATGTAACCGAACTGTCGTGTTTCATGGCTTTTTGCCACTCCAGATGTCAATCAAAGCCCGGAATGTCAAGGTAGTGAATGAATGATGGTTGATGATGATGAAGAGGAGGAATCTTTCAGACCCGTTTTTTTTTCTTCCAGTAAAACTCCACGAGGGGTTTCTGCTTCTTGAATGTTTTCCTCCCCCCTCCCCCCTTTGCGCTTTGCCCCCGCGGTCTCGCTAGTAGGATCCTCTCTCTTTAAAGTGTTGTTCAAAAAAAAAAAAAAAAAAAGCGGGGAGAAAAATCAAGAAAAAAACGAATAGTTTGCAAAGCTGGACTTCCTGCCCCCCTTCCCGGTAGGTATTTTGTCTCCCTCTCGCGCGCGCTCGCTCGCTCTCACTCGCGCCCGCTCTCTCTCGCTCGCTCGCTCGCGCTCTTTCTCTCTCGGGGAGATGAGTGAGTGTCAGTAGGTGTTGGCAGGTTGGCGGCTGCCGGGCTTATAGACGAGCCTCAGTTTGGCGGCGCGGGTCGGCGGCGGGAGAACGCAATGACGGAACCCGGAAGTCGTGGTGGCCATAGCCCGTGGCGCGGCGGAGACGCATCCCGGGAGCGGGGAGCGGGAGCGAGGAGGAGCGCGCGGCGCGGAGCCTCTGAGCTGCGGCGAGTGCGATCGGACGTCCCCGCCGGGGGGAGGCGCGGGCGGGGGAGGGGAGGCTGGAGCCGCGCGGCCGAGCAAATCAGCGAGCCCGCTGCTCCGCGGGGACGGCGGGGGAGGAGAGAGGGGCGGGGGCCGCGGGGCGCGCGGGTGTGCGTGCGCGGGCGCGCGCTCGCGAAGGGGGCGCGAGCAGGAGGGAAGGGGGAAGAGAGCCGGGAGGAAGAGGACAGGGAGAGCGCAGAGAGGAAAACTGCAGAAAACCACAGGGAAAGTACGGTACAGCCTCGGATCTTTTCATTTATTATTTTTTAAAACTTACTTCTACTTTATTTTCCCATCAACCCCGGCTCCTGCCTAACTGGGTCGTGTCGTGGACGTTTGGCATGGCGCTCTCGCTTTTGTTCCTTTTAATTCCGCAATAACCCCCTCCTCTGCACGCGGACTACAGCGCCCCGAAATCTTCCTGCTAACATCTTAGGGAAACGGGCTCTGCAGACGTTATCACCGCCGGTCTACAGTTTTTTTTTCCCCCCCAAGTGGCACTTTCTTCCCTGTGCAGATCCAGGACCCTTGTTGTCAGTATTCATTTTTTCCCTCAGCTCCAGAGACCAGAGCACACTCCCTCCAAGCGGTGCAGACAAGGGCCACCCCGAAGAGGCTCCGGGGCGCGGCGGAATCGGGAGGGAGTCGCGGGGTGTGTGGTGTCCGACGTAGTCAGGGGGGTGTGTATGTATGTGTGTGCGCGCGCGCGCGCGCGACTGGTGTGCGCCTCCAAAGTGGCTTTCACAGCCAGCTGGCGAACACGAGCAGGGAGACACGGGGTAGGGAGAAAAACCGGGGAGGAAGAGAAGATACCCGCCGGCCGGACAGGCTGGCGCTGCCGGGCCGGTTCTGCTGTGGCCCACGCGCAGCGGCGGGGCCGCGGGAGCCCGGGCTGGAGGCCGTGTTCATTACACCGGGCGGTCACGCGGGGTCAGGAGGACGCGGCTGGCTCCGAGTGAACTTTTCCCAAAAGGAAAGGAGAGTGGGAAAGGAAGGTAGCTCCCCGCACGGCTGGGGTGGAAACTATTTCTGGCCGATGTCCGGTCCAATGCCCGTCTCAAACTGCGCCGGGCTCTGCCGCTGCTGGGCCGGGTGCTCGGCGGCCGGACGTCAGTCCCGCCGAGCCCCGAGCTGGGGGCGGAGCTAGGGTTACCCCGGCTCTGCGGCGCAGCAGCCCCCCATCCGCTCCCCAACTCTCGCCCTTGCTCTCGGACACGGTTCTCGACCCAAGAATCGGGAACAGACCTTCAGCAGTCTCCTCCCTCCCCAACTCTGAACCTCTTCTAGAAAATAGAAAGTAGCTTGTGCTCTTTGAGCGGCTTCGGCCGGACTTTCCTGCGGGGGGCGGGGATGGATGGGAGTGGTTAGGGAGAGGAAAGTACTGTGAGAGTGTGTGTGTGTGTGTGTGTGTGTGTGTGTGTGTGTGTGAGAGAGAGAGAGAGAGAGAGAGAGAGAGAGAGAGAGACAGAGAGACAGAGAGAGAGAGAGGCTCTTTTGCCCCCCTTCCATCTTTGCTACACTGTAAGCTCTTTCGGGCAACACTAACTAGGCTAACATTGCAGCCTGCAGAGACTCCAAGCAGAGTCGGAGAAATTTGGCCTCGTTTTAATAGGGCTAGGGAATGCGCTCCGGAGGTCAATAAAGCCCTCCAAAAATGATGAATGATGGAGCACCTGTGATGATGATAGTGATTACCAGAGCAATTAAACAGTTTGATTAAATGAGCCATCATAACAATGATGTCTGCGGGAAATCGGCCCTCACATATAAAGAAAGACAGTGCGGAGGGGCTGGCAGAGGTGCCGACCGCGAGGTGCCGGGCACAAGGTCTGTGGTCGGCGAGATTTTTGCCCCGGTAGTCTAAGCAGGGACTTCGGGGCTGGGGCAGCTTCAGGGAGAGGTTAGCCTAGATTTTCCGCCTTTCTGCCTGGCTTCAAGCCTTCGAGACCGAAGGGAGTGTAAAACCTGAAAGGGGGGCGGGGGTCCTCCACCTCTTTTTTTTTTTTTTTTTTCTAGAAGAACTCCAAGATTAAAAATATCCTTCTCCATTGACGCTGAGTTGCTGGTCGACATATTTTTAAAAGGTGAGTAAAAAAGAAGAGCTAAAGTGTTGTTCTCCAGAATTATATTTCAAGAGGCAATGACACAAACTCAGCTGCGATAGTACAGATGAAGGAGAGAGGAGGGAGAGGAGAGCATGCACAGTCTGGGCTCGCTGTAGACTTGGTAGAGTTGTAGATGTTGGTGGGTCCAAGTTCGCGGCGCAGCGCCGCCGGCTGAGAAGTTTATATTCAGTTTTTCAGGTTTTATGCCTCCAGTTATCTATAAATTCAGACTTGAGTATTGACTGCTGCCGAGGGGATTATTGCTCTTTTAAATGTCCTGCTAAGTAAGGGCCAGTTGGCTTTTATTTTTTAAAGAAACTCCTCGATTTCCTTGATAAGCCCTTCTTTTTGTAAAGATCATCCACCGGAGCCTGTGCACCGCAGAGTCTAAACACTGAACATTTTTCCACCTTGTGCAGCTTTTTATCAGTTTGTTTTTTTCATAGCAGTACTGGCAAGATTAGCTGTGCATCCCTATAGCTTTGATTCAGGGAAACTTAACATTTTTAAAAAATGTTTCTTTTATGGCAGTGCCACTAAGTAAAAACCATTGAGATGGATGATTTCTGCATTTTCAAAAAATTAAACTAATATAGTAACAGTTTATTTGCAGTAATCTTGGGTTTTACAAAAGAAAAGTCTTTATTCTTTGGACAAGGCGAAAGACATTTTAATCTGAACTCCTCTACTTCTTTTTGTATTTCTTGCTAACATTCTATAATTTCTTTTGCATTTTGTTGAATACATTAAAGTAAACAATGGGACAGTCTGGTTAGGTATAGAAAGGAGAGAGATGGCATTTTGAGATTGTGTCAAAGAAAAAAACAACACTTAGTTAAGAAGTGTGAGTCTTAGAAATGTATCTCTGCTGAAAGACATTTGTGTGTGGTTTTCAAATTCAGCCCTTGTTTCAAGGGAGACCCAAAATTTTGCAACTAAAAGACTTCACCTACGGGTTATGAAATTGTTAGTTTAAAATGGTAATCCCAGAGTAGTGGATAACACACAATATCAAGTTGGAGTTGACCCAGGGAATCAGTTCAGGATCATCCTGATGATTTCACAGTACCTTTGTTACTTAAAATCATCGACTTGCAGGCATTGTATTAATACACCTGAGGAAGGCTGATCTGTTACCTAAGAATTTTCTGGGCTCCCTACCCTCAGTTCTCCAGTGTGTAGAAACCATGCCACAGCGGTGGGGGAACTATTCCTTCTGATTCCTTACCCCGTTTTCAGCCATAGCCCTGCCACAAGGGCCTCCAGGCTCCTCTGCTGGCTCACCTTTTGGGTGATGGGAAAGTGGGTGGAGCAGGCCTTAGAGACTGGCGAGAGATGGGGGTCAGAGGAGGTGCCACCGACCTCCTTCAGCAGTCAGCTCCTTCTGCCCAGGCTGGAAATGGTTTTAACAGGCGGTAAAATTTCATCTTGCGGTGTCAAATTGGGGTCATTTTGGGGTTAGAGTTCTCAGTGTCCGAGAGGAGCTGTCCAGCTGCGTGGCGACTCATTAACTGCAAAAGATCTGTTTCAGTAAAAACAATTCAAAGACAATCAGGAGGCTAAAGACCCTCTACAAATCGCATTTTACAAGTGCCCCAGAACAAATATGGATGGTGAAACCTATTTCTTCAGAATCCCAAATCAGCTACTTAGCTTTGGAGTAGGGGGTGGGGGCACTGCATTAAAAAGAAGTGAAAAGGAGGGGACCGAGAAGGTGGAAGTGAATGGGAGAAGGAATTGGGCCTCTCAAATTTAAAGAGTCTGTTTTTAATCACTCCTTTCTTATTGAAGCATCCCCAGGACTTCTGAAAACGGCTTCTTTTCTGTTTTTCCTTTTTTGACTCAACATTTAAAGTTATTATAGGTAACATTCGGGATTTTAAAAGTATAACTTAATCCCCCTGTAGTTTCTTAATTGAAAGGACACTGGCTTTTTGGAGAGTAGTTAATTTGAAAGGAACGTTTATAAGCTCAGACTTCATTTGAGGTGCATTTACTCGTGCTCCACAAGAATCCTACGTTTCTTTTAATCTTTTCTTCCCTTCTCTTGAAAGTTGTAGATCCTTCACACAGATAACTCCCAAATTCCTCAGAACAGTGAGATCTGAAGTGCTAATCTGTGTATTAAAATCGCCGAGTTTAAATCCTTTTGTCTTCTTACAACAGTTAGAACAATTGATGCCTTTCTAGAGGAACAAATAAACCCAACCTTAATCTTGTTTGTAACTTTAGTTCATGTTTTGGTTTGGAATATTTTGTACTTTGGCTTGAAAGAAAGATGTGAATTATTCCTTTGATTTTCACACAGATCGTTTCAAGTAAAACAAAACTTCAGTGTTAAAATAAAAAGGTAGATGTGTGAAATGCCATGGATTTTAGTATAAAATCAGACCAGTATTTAAAAGTAAAATGTCACATGAAGTTTCCCCCCCCCTTGCATTACTGAACTGAGCAAGTAAAAGAGACTTAAAAATGTTTTTGTTATCTCTTTCCTTCTCTGGACTTCCCTTCACTCCCAGAGCTTTTCTCTCCAGCCACACAACTTTTCTTTGAGTCCTAAAGGACACGGTGAATTTTTGTATTCTAGATATTTGCTCAGAGCTTACCAAGCATTTGTAAATTGTTCTTCGAGGAGTCAGTCTAATTGCAGTCCTACAACATAGCCCAGAGCCTAGCATTGCTGGGACGAAGGCTAAGGGGCTGTCTTCTTCCCCAGACCTGCTGGCTGACAGCTGGAATTTTTGATATATATTTTATTTGGCATTTCCAATAACGAGTTTGCTTCTCACCCTCCCACCCCCACCGCTTGGAGTCATCTATTACTTTTAAAACCTCTCCACTCCGTAAACCTGTAAACCTCGGCTCATCCTCCTGAACTGCTCTTGACCTCCCCAGCAGTGTAACTAGCAGCTCTGAAAGTTGGGCTAAGGAGAATTCTCTTTATTTCCTTATCTGCTAACTTCATTCTCTGTCTTCCTAGCTGAGATCAACAGGGGGAAAGACTCTGAATTTTCTTTGCTTAGTTTTTGTGTTGCTTTTTCGTTGTCTGGTTTTGTTTTTCAGGATTATTATTATTATTAATCATTGCCTTTCCTTAGGCTACTATGGATTCTTCTCGACACAATGAACAGCAATACATAGCACTATGCTTTATTTAACAAATGGGCTAGAACAGGTTCATCGTATTTTCTTTGCTTTTGCCCAGTCTTAATTTCTCCCAATTTTAGCTGTTTCGCCGTCTCGCGGAAGAGAATCTCAATAAGTAGCCCTCTAGCGCTATCTGGCGGGGCTCCAAACGCGGAGTGCGCCAGCTCCTGCTGTCCCCGGCTCCATCCTGCGCGCCCTTCCTCGCTCTTCGCTCCTCTCTCCTGCTCTCCTGCTTCGCCCTCTCTTTCTCCACGCCGTCCGCCCCCTCTGCCTCTTCCATTCTCTTCCCCGGTTCCCGCCCCGTTTCTAGGGCCGGCCCGAGGCCGACCCCCCACACCACTGCAGGACTGTCCGGCGCGGCGGCCCTGCCCGGGTCCCCGTCCCTGCCCTGCCCAGCGCGGGTCACACGCATCCAGCGCCCTCGATTAGCAACTTCGCGCTGCCGAACTTGTTGCCTAAGCGCCGTGTCCTCTGCTGGGGGTGGCTTGGCGAGGCTTAAACCTGCATCTGTGAAGTTTGCAGGAAGGAAATCAGACACTGGAATCCCGGCTGCTGGAGCCCAGCAAGGTTTAGGTCAGAAGGCCGAGGCCCGGTGCGGGGCTTCGCAGGGGTGGGAGCCCGCACGGCGCGGCGGGGCGCCTGGCGCTGCAGAGAGTGGGTGGGGGTGCGAGCACGCGCCCACGGCCCCTCGTGGCCGCACCACTGTGACCGCTCCAACCTAAGCACTGGGCCTGTCGGTTTTTCTTTTTATCTTCAAGTAATCAGTCTTATTCCTCCCCCCACGACACCAAATTTGGAGGGGTAAAGAAGAGTGGGAGTAGGAAAGCTCTCTAGAAACCCCACAGGGCCAAGAGCCAGCTGAGCGCTGGAGGAAGTCGGCCGGCTGGGGATGCTGCATGGCCAGCATCCTCCTCTTTCCTCACGTTTTGTCACCGTCCTCTTTCTTATATGGGGCTTTTTGTTGTTGTTGTTGTTGTTTGTTTCCAATGACCGTGAACACTCAGCGGTATGTGGGGAGGTCAGAGGAGATAGGGGCTGAAGGAGAGATTGGGCTCGGAACTGGGCGCTGTAGGTGGAGATTGGGCTGAGATTCATTCACAGTCTTCTCTGACACACGCACAGCCACACACACAGCCCGAGAGATGTCCCCAGTACTCTCTTTGAGCAAGCCTCTTCTGTCTAGCCCTTGAAAGCCTGGGAAGGACGTGGGACCTGAGGGAGAGTTATGAATGTGTTTTCTAAAATTCAGTTTCACCTTTGCAAAATAAAAATGAGAGTCATATGCCCAGTACCAACCCATAGGTGAGTGGAACTTGGCCTAAGGCATCTGACAGCAACCGTGCAAAGCTCCTTGCCCAAATCGAAATCTGACCCCCTCACAAAAATGGAAAGCAGGGGAAGGGGTGACGTCCTCCTAAGCCTTCGGCCCCAAGAATCGCCCCCATCCCCATTGTACGGAGAAGAAAGCACGGTTTGGTGCAATTAATTGAGGACTGTTATTAGGTCATCATTAGCCAAGGTGCAAATAATTGCAGACCATTTTTATTTAAAATTGACTAGCCCCAGAGTGATAGATCGATTCAGAGTATAAAAATGATATATCAAAACATCAATGTCGATTATTTGAAATATTGTAGTCGAATTTTTTTTATTGCTTCATCGGTTAAGTGTCTGAAAGTGCAGTGTTCAAACATATATTTATGTTGTCAATACTGTCAGAACTGTCAGTTTTACTATACCGGATTTGTACTACATTTCGAATTTGCTCATTTACATAAAATGCCCACACTAAGATTCCCCATCCCCCACCCCATTTCTGGAAAATCCGTGTCAGTTCCTTCAAAGGATTCAGCAGTCTTTGCCTAAGCTAACCTGTGTACTGCCTCTTTTATTCAGTTTTCCTTGATGGATGGTATGTATTTTGCACCATTACCAACTTTGAGAAGAAATGCTTCCTCTTTCTGCCTAACTCTGCCTATCCTAACCTCTGCTCCAAAATGGTATTGAAGCAGTTGCAAAGTGCCAGGTTTAAATACCCACATCCTAGCTCCAAAATACAGTATTTGGGCAGAAAAACATTTCGCTGCCCCTCCCTGTCCTTGGGATAAACCTGGGAGTCCACCAGGCAGACATTCTCACAGGTGTCAAAGTCCATCATCAAACTACCTGGAAGATTGAAGTTTTCTCAGGAAAATGAATTTGGAAATAAAAATACTTATTTCTTTTTATTTAAAAACTGCGATAGCAGAAAAAGAAATAATACATATACATGATCAGCACGTTTTACCTTTGCATGCTTTTGAACTCAATCGAAAAGACATGAGTTGGAAACAGAAGTGACAGTTTTAATTCTACCCATTTTCACCTGGCGGGGCAGATCAGAGGCGATCATTTACTTTATGGGGTGTGGATTGGAAAGGTGGATGGGAAGCTTGCACCACTGAAGTCTCTGTCCTAAAATTCCCAGAGAAATTAAATATTCTTATTGAAACACAAACATTCCCTCATTCTGAACCCTCCTTCTAGACTAACTGAAATGTATAAATTCACATGATGGCTAATTTCATGCTTTTTATTTTTTTCCAGAATTCCCTCAAGTCTATAAGGAAGACAGGACCACTCTGGACTAGCTGTAAGGATGTGTTTTTGTTTCTGTAACACGAAAACACGTTGCATAAACCTTTTAATGTTGCTATATGAGTCTATTTGGACATTAAAAGAAGCGAACGCACAAAGATAGCTTAGCTTTATGCCTTCAATGTAGCATTAACGAAAAAAATTTTAAAATCTGAGTTTTTTTTCCATACTCATCCTTGCCTTTCAAAAAATGCAGAGCTAAGTAAAGTTTGCAGCTCGCATCTGTACGTCTTCGCGTGCGCGTTTATAAACATCTTCCAGTCGGAGTTACCCCCCTCCTGCCACACTTGCGAAGACAGAGGCTTCGAGGGATCGCCCCTGAGAGCTTTGTTTACTTAGGTTTTTTAAATCTCTCCGCCATGTATGACAAGTGTTACTTCAAGAAATTCGTCAGCCTTCTACAGATACTTCCAGTTCTGCTGTAATGATCTGCAGAAGACAACTGTCATCACTGTATCACATCCCAAGGTGTTGCAGGGACTCGGAGGGAGGCGAGAGGGACCGCCACGCTTAATTACCTTGGGGAGGGAGGGGCGCCGGCCTGGACGCAGGCGGAGAAAGGACAGGGAGGGACCCTCCTCCCCAGGTACCTGCGGGCAGCTCTCAGGCGCCTCTCTCCGAATATTTGGAAAAGGTATGGTTGCCTTTCCCTCCCTCTCATTCCTTTAGGGAGAAGTGATACCCTTGTGTAACAATTAGCTCAAACAATAAATATAATTGGAAAATCAGTCGGAATTTCTGAGTTTTTAATTACGTTTAATTTTGTACTAAGCCGTAAAATTACGAATGCCCCTCAATTAAACACTTTCCTCTTGTAAAGCGTTTAACAACAATTATTCCTTAATCAGTCTGAATGTGAGTCACAAATGGGGCTTTTCCACATCAAAAGGACGTCCTTCCACGTTACCTTTTAGTCATAAGAGGATTAATTCCTATAATTAAAGGGATAAATATGTGCATAAATATCTCGCTCACTCTCTCTAAAAAAAGAATGAATGAATGAAAGAAAAACAGTTCGCTCTGAGAGGTGGTGGGCTCCGGCAGGGCGACTGCTGTCACCGTCTGCTTGAGTGTGAGGTCCCTTTGCAGGCGCGTAGTTGGGGCTGCGCGGGGCGCACACCCGGAGGTGCGAACTCGGGAGTCCCGGGACCCCACGCAACATCCCCGGGACAACGAGCCACCCCCACCTTTGACCACTGAGCCTTCGGGTGGGTTCTCGTGTCCAGGAGACCGCAGGTCCCAGCCCTAAGCTGCTGCTCCAGGTCTCCTCTCCAGGCTACAAATAAAAATCCAGCATGACCTTAAAACTCCTGCGTGGATATCTCATTTACCTAATGACTTTATGTCACCTAGGAAGAAGGTCAATTTCCTCTTAACCTTTTCCCCCCGCTGCTGCAGTAAGCATTCTTCCCTAATCAATGGTGGCTGGAATAATCAATTCCCATTTTATGATCGCTGACAAACTGGATCTCTGGGCGGTGCTAGCGCGCGGGGCGCTCGCTCGGGCAGGGACCGGGGTTCCCGCCCGGCGCCGGAGCCGAGCTGCGCTCCCCGGTGGAGTTCAGAGACCTCGGCGAGCTGCCCTGCCCCCGCCGCGCCGCCGGCGTGACTTGGGAGTTGTCACTAATCCGAACCTGATATTCACCAGAGCTCCCCAGGCTCGGCGCGGCTGCTGGGGGCCGCCCCCGCCCCGCCTCGGAGTGTTTTCATTTCTCAGACTGCAGGCAGGGGTGGCCCGGCCCGGGGCCGCGTGCGTGTGTGCGCGTGTGCGCGTGTGCATGTGTGTGCGCGCGTGTGTGTGCATGTGTGTGCATGTGTGCGTCTTTCATTTCAATTTAAAAATTATTTTGCCTTCCTCATCGTACATCTCTCAACTCTTTCCAGGGTCTCAGGCTGGCGAACTTTGCGTAAACAAAGCAACAACAGAAGCCCTTAGGGTTGGTGAAGGAAATTCTCTCTCCCTCTCTCCCCTTCCTCTCTCCTTCCCTCCCTCTCCTGCCCTTCCAACCCATTTTCTTTTCTCTTCTCTTTCCTTTCTCCTCTTCCACCGTCTCTCACAATACTGGGCTAAAAGGTTTATGAGGTTCCACTCTCCCCCTATTTAAATTCCTCAATTTGTTCCCAATCTGAGGATGTTGCTAGTCAAATGACTATCTCCAGGCTAATTTGAAAGCTAATTTAGGGGTAAGTTCGTGCTTCTTTATTTTCATAGGCTCTGAATCCAAGTCCCCAACTTGTTCCAGTGGCTCATAAAGTTGGCTTTTCTAGGTACAAAGTCTGTGGGAAGAAGGATGTCTGAACTCTGGGTCACATTTAGGTAACTGAACTTTTTTCCTGTTGGCAGTGATAGCCCCGCTGTCAAGACGTAAGCCACTGACTATTAACAGTTTTAAAAAGCCCTGCTTAGCTAAGATTCAATGGCAAGAAAGTCATTTTTGTTGGAAAAAGCTGTTTGCAAGCTTTTGTTATTGTTGTTTGAGATTTCTCTGGGGACATAACCTCTGCTACTGTATTGACCAACTAGTTAAAACTGAACCCCAAACCAGAGTTTCTCTCCGAGGTTGCTCTCGTGGGCCTGCCTTGCTTATGGTGATCATCTTTGAAAAGGTAATTTAAGTGAAGACACCTCATTACTTGTGGGCAGATATTCTTGACATTTTGAAGTTTTTTTCAATCAAATGGAAATGTGAGTCAAACTTTTATCCCTTCATCGGGTGTAAAAAGTAAACATATGATATGTATGAATTCAAGCAGAGTCACCATTCATTCTCATGGTCTCTTAAGTCCTCACCAAGCTACCACTCCAGCCCCTTGAAACTGGAAGGGCCCCTTCTTCAGGGCCCAAGATGACCTGACCTGGGACACAGAGCACCCTGTTCCCAGGTCCTAACTTCATCTTGCTGTGGTCCAGGAAGTCCTATTGCAATTCTTGCTGAGTTAGACTCCAGATTTAAAGGAACATACAAGGTTGGTGAAGCCCCGAATCACAGTTCATAACCCTTAGGCTTTCAGAGAAGATTTGCTTTATAATTCCTAATACTGAGCCCTCACTGGGATACAACCTGTCTGTAGGCCAGGGAGTCTTGTCAGGGAAGTTTCCCATTAGGAGGAGTCCAGAGTGGGACTTTTATCTGTATTTGACAGAGGAGCAGACAGACTGAGAATGGGCCCCTTGACCTCAGGTAATTACTCCCCTCTTCCTTCTTAAGCACATTTAATTCTCACCTGATGAGCAATTAACAACCTTTGACTACTCACTCTATGAGAATTTCCTTTCCTTTTTTTTTTTTTTTTTTTTTTTTTAATCTTAAGGGCTCTCATAGGGCTATGGAAGGATACCTTCAGTACTAGTTTTTAGTGTGGCTTCATTTAAACATCTTCCATTCCTCCCCCTTTTTCTCTAGTCTGCTTGGACACATCTGGCACTGGCTTGGTCTGTGCTGTAACTCAGCACGTGAAATCAGAGAATCTAATAATCAGTTTACTCCCCTTCCTTTGTCCCACTTCTGATCCTCCAGGAAGTAATAACAGCTCCTCCACCTAGGTGGGACACGTTCTGAGCCAGGGTGGATGTCTGAGACTGAAGATACTCCAGCTCTGAACATGTATACACAGTGCTATCTTTTCCCCTGTGCAGATATAGCTGCAAGGAAGCTTAATTTGTATATTAGGCACAGTAATAATAACAATAATAGTAAATACCACAGCTACAACAATATGCTGTAATAAAAATTAGTGGATTTAGGAGTCATTTAGTTCTTGAATATTTCACTTCATATCTTCAGGTTGTGATTATGTATATCTGAAGCTTCAGCAAGTAAAATACTAAACAAGGAGAAACTACCATACTCTAGACTACTCTATGGAAAAAGAAAATTCTTTAATTTTCCTTTATTTGGAAGCCATATTAGAAGAAACCATTAAAATTACTTTTTAAAATTTTAAAAAAAGAATATAATCAATGATGCAGAATTTCAAAATAGATTAATAATGGTTAATATATTGCCTATTGTCTTCAAATCAGTTGCTCAGAATACAATATATAGGCATGAAAAAAATGTTCAATGAAAGAACAAATCGTTCTTTTTGATGAAATAATAGAGATTAGTAGTATAATTATCTATATAGTATATATCTATCATATATATCCATATATAGTATATGTATACTATCTATAACATCCCAGTTGTTCATTCCTTTTGAGCACTTTTTGTTTTGGGGGGGAATGTTGTTCCATTCCTTTTTCTAGAAACTTTGTCCATTCCAGTGTCTCTTTCAGGGCTATAGATTAAAATTATATGCCAGGAAACAGTCTAGGGTCCTTGGAAAGGACACATGGACACACAGGGCACTAGCTTTTCAAAAGTGGCTGCTGGTTCTACAAGGCTCATGTCCTATGTGAAGAGATCTATTATTCAAACACCAAATCAGATCACTTCAGCAGCTGTTAGGATCAGAGACTGAGAAACCTGAGAAAAACAGACAGGAACTTCAGGGATTGAGGGGCCCTCAGGAGCCTCCAGAGACTGACAAGAGAAGACTGTGTTCAAGGTCTGTCTCACGCTAACTGTGCACTGTTACCTAACTTTTTTTTTTTGTCCTTGAGACATAATATTTGCTCATCTTTAATATTTGATACTATCTCATGTGTAATAGTGAAATCAAGGTAATGGGTATATCTGTCTCCTCCAACATGAATCATTTCTACATGCTGGAAACTTTCAACTCTTCTAGTTATAGTGAAATATATCACAGATGGTGTGACCACCAGTTGCCCCACTGCGGAATAGAAAACCAGCATGATTTTCTCTTATCTGCATTGTGGCTCTCCTTGTTTGATTTCTTTTCATCCTCTTTCACCCTGTTCTTCCCAGTCTCTAGTGACTACCATTTCACTCCATTCTCATATGGAATTAACTTCTTTTGTTTGTTTTCACAAACGAGCAAGCACATTGTATTTATCTTTATACGTCTGGCTTTTCAACTTAAAATAGTGACCTCCAGTTCCATCTGTGTTGCTGTAAAGGACAGTATTTCATCCTTTTTCTGGCAAAATAATGTTCCAATTGTGTATATGCACCACATTTTGCTTATCAATCCACTTATTGATAGATACTTTGGTTTATTTCCCATCTTGGCTATTGGAAACAGTGCTGTAATAAACACAAGAGTGCAGGAATCTCTTTGAAATAATGGTTTTATTTCATTCAGATATGTAACCAGTGCTTATATATCTGCCAGATCATATAGAAGTTCTGTCTTTATTTTTTAAAAGAACCTTCACACTTTTTCCATAATGTGTGTACTAAATTTCATCCCATCAACAGTATATTATTGTTTCTCTTTCTCTGAATTCCCCAGAATTTGTTATTGTCTTTTTTTTTTTCCAGTACTGGAAATTGAACTCAGGACCTTGCACTTGCCAGGCGGACGCTGTGCTGCTGAGCTATATCCCCGGCTTCCCAGTTTTTGTTCTCTTTTATCTTTTTTTGTAATAGCTGTTATAACTGTGGGAGGTGATATCTCATTTGTATTTCCTCGATGATGATTGGTATTTATCATCCATGTACATTTGTAAGACATTTATATGTCTTCTTTTGAAAATCATCTATACAGATCTTCAGCTCATTGTGATTGGATAATTATTATTGGAGATCTTATTTTTTTTGGCAGGGTGGGTACTGGGGTTTGAACCTAGGGCCTGGTGAATGTTAGGCAAATGCTCTGC